ATAATTAATACTAAAACATTTTTTTTTTTTTTTTGCCAGATGAGACGATGGGATGCCTTATAAAAGAAGTATATTTCTAAATATATACTTCAACTTTAAATTTTCGATTTTCTGACAGCCAGTCGGATATATTTGGATCAAACACGCATCCTTCTGCTCTTCGCTTTGTGTATATAAAAACATAAAACAATAATTTGAACTAATATAAACAATATTACTTTTATTCTTACAAAATAACTTAAGATTAGCAATAAAATTTCTTTATATGAGAGATATGCAGAGACTTCTACAAACAACCAAGAGTGCCTGGAGGCACAGCTCATTCAGTTGACTATCACGAAATCGTTGCACTTGGCTGGCAAGACGGAGGGAAATGCCTGCTGCGAGTTCTGCCAGTCGAGGGCCGTTTGAGCTGGAGTCACAGTCGCCAGTTGCGGTGGTGCTGCAACCACTTGTGGGCTGGTGGTGGTCACCACGACGGCTGATCCTCGCCTTCGTCCATTCAGTGTGACAGCCGCTGGACCTGAGGTGGGCACCACAACGAGATTGCGCTCCATCGAGCGCTGGCAGCGACGGCAGGGACGACCCCAGGCCCAAGGTCGCACCACATAGAGCAGTCCGCGACGATGATAGCACTCGCACTGAATGTTAACCTGTTGCACCGCCGTCATCTTGCTCGAGTGAGTACTGATGTACTGATGTCAAGCTGCCTCAAGCTGCTTGCATTTATAGTGCGAATGGATTTTTGAGTGTTATCATCGCTATCAGATATCTCTATCATCGTAATCTCCCACTTTTGTTATCAATAGTTGGCAATTTGCTGTGATTCATGGCGTATCGGTGATTGGAGGTCGTGTGGCGCCTAATGATTCAGCGTGGGGGCCACGGCTAGAGCTCTGCGCCCTTGAGAACTCAGCGCAGCGAGTGGAAGGCGTTTGCACACTCCACACACGTTTCGTAATGAGTACTTAAGCACTTGTCAGAGCGAGATAGCGAGAGAAGATAAGGGTCTTTCTGCAGCCGTTGTCTGATTACTCGAATATCTCAATAGTTGCATATTTGAAGGCAATCAAACCAGGTAATAACTGTTGTTGTCTATGCAGACAACTTTGAGTGAAAATATATTAAAGGATTATTTTTATACCCTACATCAACTGAGAGTTAAGAATAATGTATATAAGACAAAAGTGGGCAGGTCATATAACAGTAGTTATGTATGCATTCCTGCTGATGGAAAATGAAGGCGAGGTTTTCGCCTATCCTCTCATTTCACTGTCCGTCTGTCCGTTCGCCAGTCCGTATGAATGAATGCAACGATGTGATTTCTATCGTAGACGAGCTTTCAGTATCAGTATTTGATAGTCAGCTACAGATTTCTTACTAGCTTAAAGCTAATTATTATAGCAGAAGGCTAATATTAAGGGTGAAGCTGATAAATTGTTTAGGAATTACAGATTTCAATTTTCTAGCATAACTGTGGTCAGCAGTGCCCATTTTCTTTCTCTCTCTCTCTCTCTCTCTCTCTCTCTCTCTCTATCTCTTGCTCACTCTCTTCTCCATATGTTGTCAGAACGTGAATAGCATAGGCCCTCATAAAGATCAGTCACTGTTGATCATATTGATAGATAATACATTAGTTCTCATATAGGGGCTTGTCAAATAATAAAGGGCTTCATCGTGTACGAGTTGCGCCTCTTGAGATGTTCTTTAGATTGAGCACAAACTCTATATCCACACCTTCTATGAGTCTGACGTGGCTATTCAAGATTACTATAGATAAACCTTACATAAAGATCAATAATATTGAATATCTTAATAGCGAATTAAAATGAAGGTATTTCAGAATTTTTTGATTTTGTTGAAAATTTGAGGAAACGTAATATATGTATATATATATCATATTTATGGCCAATATCATCAAGTCTCGGCGTTAGATCATAGTTGATTGCAGCTAGATCAGTATATAATAAAGTCCATCCATAGAACCCTCGGAAACCTATAAATATGCATTCAATGCAATAATCGATATAGATATACTGGCAAAAAATGAGTAAAACGACTAAATTTCCATTTGAAAGAAAAGTTTATTAAGTTTTCCAATTCAGGTGAAATATTTTTGTTAACTTTATATACGTAATTCAATATTACAGTATTCCTTCACTTCCTTGACTCAGCTAATAACCAATGTTTCATTATATGCGGGTGACAATGTTTGCTGTGTGGTGACCACCTGCTGCACCTGTTGCACTTGCTGCACCTGTAGCCCTGGTACTGTCTGTGTCGTCGTTGTGGAGACCACAACAGGGGATGATCGATTCGTGAGGGCGGGAGTCACTGAGACGGCAGCTGAACCCTGGGTGGGCACGACGACCACATTGCGCTCCATCATGCGCTGGCAGCGACGACACGGACGACCCCAAGCCCAGGGCTTGAGCAGAAAGAGCGGTCCATGATGGTGGGGGCACTCGCACTGTATGTTCACCTGCTGTACCTCTGCCATGTTGCTCGCTTGTCGTTCGATTCGTTACTGAATTCAAAATAGTTTCGACTCTTGAATTTATAACACAACGATAATTTATCGATGGCTTCTTATCAGTTCATATTCTAATCCTGTTATATATCTTATCAGGGAAGTGCTTTCATGATGGATCTAGCCACCTTCGGCTGTGATTCATATGCTTAACTGAGGTCAGTCTTGCTGCAGTTTCTCTGACTCATGGGGATCTTACAGGCATAGCCCGATTAGCATATATCATGCCCAACTCCGATTCATATTCAGTCATAAAAGATTCTTTAAGCTAATCAGATTTTGATCACTTACATAAATTGGTAGTCAAAAGCTGTTATCAAAGACTTCATACCTTATCGATACTCATTTTACTATCTATAGCTCGGAGCAATGTATATCAACAAAGGGTTTTACATACTAGAGCCGGTTTTCTTATTGTTGCCCCAATCAAGTTAGTTTTGCGTAAGATCAAGTCTTGTCATATTCAACCCACACCACATTAAAACTACATAACGAACATCGCCAAAATATAAATATGGTAAGAGTTGAACTAATTTTCCACAAGCAATTCTTTAATAAATATATTATCTACATAGAACTCAAGCGTCGAGATCATTGCTGAGTTCAATTTCCGTGAAAGGAATTTCGTTTCAGGTACATCTAAAGTAATATATCTTAAGTAATATGAATACATTTCAAATATATAAATAACATTTCTTAACAGAGGAAGCAAAATGGAAATACATTTTGGAAATGGCCGAACGTACAGATAGAAGGAAGACTTGGAATAGACTGAATCGGATTTGTCGAGCTCGAATTCTTGAAAATCTCATAATTTTCGTTCCGATTTGCAGCTTGATAGCGGATCACGTATTTAAATATATAGATGGTCCGGAATCAAATTCAGTTTAAGAAGGCTTTCATGTTTCTCTGTTCAGATACTAAACATTAAAATACTTGAAGCTAAAATTAAGAAAAGGCGTATAGTATAGCTAAAAAATATTATAATTTGGTTAAATATTTGTTGCTGGTTCAATATATAACAACAATATAAAAATTGTCTGCATTTCCTTCATTTTTATATTATCACTTACAGATCAAAAATAACTTTCAAGAAAGTGTATTTTGTAGAGTAGTAGCAGTAGTCGTCGGCAATACGAAGAGTGTGAAGAAAAGATGAGCACAGCGGAAATCGAGTCGAACAGCCAAATGCTCGGAGTATTTATAATTGAACGAAAGAAAAGAGAATACAAAGAATCTCTGAATATAAATTAATTTTTTTATTTTATTTTTTTATTCATTGAATGTAGCTGTATGTTATTCCAGCCAATCAAACGTTGCTTGCTCGCAAGAATAAGCGAGTACATAGAAGATCGTGTGCGCCAAGCGATTTGAGTGTGAGAGACAGTGCGTGCTTATTAAGCCAGCCAATCACACGAGTGCTCGTAGTGTGAGCGTGTGTGTGAGAGAGAGCGGAGGCCGATGCTCAGCCTGCCAGTGTGTGTAAGAGCAGAGTAGAAAACAAGACTCAGTTCAAGCTCTGCACGATTGAAAGAAGAAGAACTGAAGCCAAGAGACGAACTCACGCAAGTTGAGCTAGCTGCGGAAGCAGAGCAGACTGCTTAACAGAGCTTCAAGCATTGTGCTCACGATGGAAAGAAGAAGACAAATGATCACTGTAAGGGACTGCATATGGGAGTTGGGCTGCACTTGACGCAGTGAATTGGCGGTGGGAAGTTGGTGTAGGAGAAATGGATTTTCTCGTATGTGTCAGTTCGTTCGTATATACATATGTAAGTACATACACTGCGCGTCATCAGGTTAGCGCCCCCCCTTACACTCATTTTCTTTTACGTTTTTCTCTTTGCCTATTGCACGCAACTTCTTGGTTTTTTTTTTATTTCATTATCATCATATGAGATGTCTCTCATACCAAAAAAAAGCGCGAGTGAAAACCCGTTATGTTTTATTTTCTATTCTTTTCTATTTTCGCAAAAAATGTGTGCACTTATTTTGCGTCATCAGATTAGCGCCCCCAAATGCAATTGTAATTATCTTGCTTATTTTGGCAATTACACTCACCAAATTTTTTGTGAAGCTCAAAGCATTCAATATATTTATAGTATGGGTAAAGAAACAGTTTTATCTTTGGTTGAAAATCAAAGATTGAGGCATACTTTGAATCTAGACTATGCAACCATAAAATTGCTGAAAAAACAGGAAAAAACAGAAAACTAAGTGGCAATTTTCTTACAAATAGGGAAAACTATGGAAAAAACTATATAAGCGGCAATAATCAAGCGATTTCAGAAGGAAATAGAAGAGCATTAGTTCGGGAAGCTTCGAATTCCCATGAATCGACCACCAAGATTAGGGATAAAATCGGTGTTAAGACGAGCTTATCAACGGTCCAAAGAGCAATNAGGGGGCGCTAATCTGATGACCAAATTTTTGTTACATGTTTTTTGTACATTTTACAAAAAAAATTATTTAAAAATAATCCTTAATGTTACAGTAGCCATTCTTTTTGTATTTTAAAAAGAAATAAACGGAGTATAAAGTAAAAAAATTTCAAAGATGGAGCTCTGATGGTTTAGATTTTATTTAGCTTTGAGGTTGAGTGTAAAGGGGGGCGCTAACCTGATGACGCGCAGTGTATGTCTATTAGTAAGTAATAAGAAGCATTGTCTATGACAAATGCAGCCGCCAAATTAAATTTTGTATGTGAGCGATGCATTACTGCATGTATGCGAGAGTATGTATATGAAAGGTAGAACACAAGCAAAGATGAATAAAAGTTAATAAAAATAGTTTATATTGTATATATATATATATATATCTTATATCTTTTAAAAGCTAATGATATTTATTTTTAAAACAACCTGTATAAATCATTTTATCAGCAGAATTAAATTTACCAAAAGTTTTCTCTTGATACTTTATGTATTAGTATAAAAAGCTATATAGGAATTATAGGAAATATGCCTAACGCTCCAGCTAAAACCAGAAACATACACCCGAGCCAAAAGTATTGCTGCCACCAATGGCAGAATTTCAACTTAAAGCAAAACACAAATTTAAGATAATTAAAATAAATAAATTTTCATAATGCCATTAAAGCAATTGTCACATTAGTCAAAAGCTTTTAATAATATTAAACACATTTAGTCACAACTTTTACATAACTTTTTACATTTATGCGATTGACAAATAACAAATAGAAACTTTCAGTTTTGTTTGGTTTTGTTAGTCATGTAATTTAATTAATAAAAAATAAATACGGTATTTTGTTGTTGTTCTACATTTGAATGCGAATCCAATGTGCGCTTGTTACCAACAGGGCCGCTGTTGCTCCACAATGACGACTTCCTCGCGTGGACGACGCCCGCCGATGTTGAACTCGATGAGTGGTCGACTGGGTCGCACCACATCCACCTCAACCATGGGTGGTGGTTGGTAGACAGCCGCTGGTTGGATCACCTCAACACATTCCGGTCTGTAGGAGGGATAGCGCGAGCCGACATCGATCTCAACAACGGGGCGTGGCAGACGTGGTGGCACAATATCCACCTCCACAATAGGACGTCCATGATGATGATGGTGGTGATGGCGGCGCTCGTCGTCGTAGTAAGACATGATTCCTTACTTATATATCTCTCTGAATATCCTTAGGTCTCGTTGTAGCGCCTGCTCTGGCGATTCTTCGTTAACTGAACTAGTTTCGCAACTGCTCAACATATTTAAGCAGACAGTTCGCAGGTGGGTACTTTTTTTTTTTTGTGTGTAATTGGGAGCTTAGTTCGCTATCTTGTCAGGTGGTCTTAGCCTGCTTTCGATAAACAATTGACAAACAACTTCCAGTGCGGCCGGACAATGGACAAACGCGAAAAATCCCAAATTATGAATTGCAACAAATTTCGCAAATTTAGATATGTGAATCAGAGTTTTTTTAATCAATTTAATTTTA